GGGCTTAATTAAAATGGGAAATAATTAAAGTATTGTACAAATGCTTAGCCAAGAAAGATTGTACGTTTGTTTATTGATTTTCGTTACGTGCTACAAGAAATCACTTTACTTTGTTTTTTCTTTATAGGTGGAGAGGGTATAAACGAAACGTCAATTTTTTAAAAATAAAGTCAAAAAAGGATGTCATGATTTCATGATTAGTATAATGAAAGTTGTTCACGCTTTGCTCCGTTTGTGGGGTAAACCAAAATAAATGAAATGAATGAAGCAAATGAAGTAAAAAAAAAACACAAAACAAAACAAAAAGGGAAGAGGGCTTTGCCATCCCCCTGTTTATATGAACATGTATGAGCTTCCAATCGTGAATGGTATGATCTTTGAGATTTTTTTTTAACAATTTTTTTCCGATTTATTTAATTTTTTTTTTTTTTATTATTCAATAAAACTTAAAAAACGCCATCATATACTTTAAGAGTACCAAAAAAAGACTCCAAATAATAAATTCATGATATCATATCTTTTCATCTTTTTCATTTAATCTTCAATTAATAAAAAAAAATTCATAAAGATTTTATTATTTAATTCAAGAAAAGGTGTATTGTTCATCGACCTTCAGGTGTGTATGACCTGTGTGATCATCGGATCGTTCCTTCTGAAGATCAAACTTTAAAAGGTTTTCGCTTTAGTCAGAAATTGTTTAAAATGTACACGTTCTAACCGTAAGGAAAACTTGCTTGACTACGTGCTTTCTTTCTAAAATGTTTAAATGATCGATCTTGAATGACTCTCATCAAATAAATATTTACCCCAGCTTGAATCATTTGACCCTTTATTAAAGTAATAAGATACCTCGTAAACCGCGTTAGTTTCATAACTAAATTAGGAATAGGTTTCATATTTCTATGAAATAAATAAAAAAAAGAGTGTCACAAGGTTATTTTTTTTTGCCTAGAAAAATCGAGCTAGCATTAATTCATACGCTTATTCAACCTTACGGAATAAAGTTGAACCATCCTCTTAACGTTGACGGGAATTCTCTCATTTTATTATAAATGACCTAAAATGGTTAACCCATTTTCTCACCTTTGAAAGTCCTTGACGTTTTTTGTTTATCATTTATTCATCAAAGAACTCACAAAAAAAAACTATTTTTTTTTTTTTTTTTTTTTTTTTTTTTTAATCAAGATTAATTAAGGAATCCTTAAAAAGACAAGAAAGAAACCAAACAAAAAAATCTCTGATGACTAATGTTGATTACGATTACGGACGGATAAAGGTTTGAAACATTGAAAAATGAGAGGTGTTTGATGGTTGTTTGGTGTTTTGTGTTTATCTTTTTTTTTGTTTACCGTAGCATAATTAGGAATGTGGAGCGGAGTATTCCAGATCAAATTCCGAATGTTATTGTACTAAAATTAGTTTAATTATGTAATTTTTAAGGTTTATTAATGATAACATAAATAGTCAAGTCTGGTAATTTTAAAGTTTTTATATAGTAAAGTTTGATTTCCAATTTTAAAAAGTTAGTAAATTTCCTTTTTTGACGAAACATTGAATGGTCGAATGGTAAATGAGAAAGATAATTTTGAAAGCAAATCACTTTCTGATCTAAACATCTTGGCAAAAACATATTTCACCCGTGTTTTCACTTTCTTTATATGAAATTGTGCTCTTGAATAAGTTCCCTTTTATAGGAAAAAATGGAAAAATGGAATTTCTTTTTTTCTCTTCTCGATCATGCGTCTGTTAATTAATTAATTAAATTTCAAGTTTAATTAAAATTAAATCCATCAATGACAACACGGATACTTAATGTTCCGATTTTCCGGAGGGGATTTTTGGGAGGGTTCTAAATACAAGGACGGTTTATAATTTTCTTTTATAATTTGAGTTTTCGGGTCAAGTCTTGTCATACCTCATCACGTTTTTTTAACGACGAAAATCCCTCACCCATTATCAAAATATTTTGTAAACATAAATGCAATTTTTTTTTTTTTTGGTTCGATGGAATAATTTTAATGTTAAAGTTTTTTTCGATGATTACATTTCTTTTTTGATTGACGACCCTTTTCAAAAAAAAACAAAAAAAAAAACACTGTATATAT